CATAAGGCTTTTTCACCCTTCCCTCTGCTATCTACCCGATGAAAAAGAAGCATGCAAGTACATAGATCCAAGCCTCATGCTTAGGAAAAAAAATAATATAGAAAAACAAAACAGGAAACTAGCTTATGCATAAAAGAAAAGTCATGGCAGAGTGTTGCTCAGTAGCAATAAAGGTGAACAATAATTTTTTTTTTTTCATTAAAAGGGAAGCCCCTGAAAACCACAGCTTTCCTACCTGCACAAGAGTACTCATCACCACTCCACCCCTTCTTCCTCTCCACAACGTGTCCTGCATGCTAAAGTATTTGTGTCTACGTGGACACTTGATCTTTGCTGGCCACTTTTGTAATCACATCAGTATTATTTCTCTAAGCTTAGAAAGGAACCTTGGAAAGGAGCATTCCAGTTTTCATCTAGAGATGAGCAAAAAGGGGGTTTTGTTATTCAGCCTGGTCATTTTTCTGTTAAGGAACATCTGAAATGTCACCCACCAAAGGCGGGGAGAAAGAGAACCGCACAAGGGTGGGTTTCCATGGAAGCATCAAGCCTGACGCTCAGGTAATTGCTGATGCGGCTTTTCAGGTGGTGCATTCCCCAGCACACCCAAGCACACCAGCAGGGCCAGGTGCTGGCGCAGAGGAGATCAGCTTGCGGCAGTCGATCCGCTCCAGCTAACGAAGAGACCCTTTGCCCCACAGGAGGGAAAAACATGTGCCCTACCAAAATAACGAAAGCCGTCTCATGTACAACATGCCTTTAAAAGATGTGAGGACGGTTGGTGCTTTGGGATTTCCAATCCCCCTAAACACTCTTTTCTCCTGTTCTTTGAACAGATCTCCGGGCATCCTTAGCGTTTATTTCACTCAGGTCAAAACGACTGTCCTGCAGCTGCACCGAACTGAATGTTTGTTCCTTGTTGCACATGGGAACAAGGGAAGAGATGGGCAAGTTTTTTGACAATCTGGCAGTGGAAAAACCTGTACTGAATTCACATTATCAAAAGATTTCATTTGCATGTGATTGAAGCTGAGATTTTTGGATAATGTTTCGAAACAATTGTCAACAAAACTCACCAAGCCTGTTTTACAAATGACATTTCAATATGCGCTTGGATAAAAATCCAGTCCTTGATGCAAAAATGGATTTAAACTTTTATTTCTAAAAGAGGGCAAAGTTTGGGCCACCTGGTGAAATTTTGAGACTCAAAACATTAGGGATGATTTAACCAGGTCTAATTAGCACACCTAGATTTCTTAAGCATTAAAAAAGAAAATACGACCACATAAAACCAAAAACCTCTTCATGAAGGCAAATTATTCCTGCCAAAAATCACAAGGTGAACCAATCACTCAAAAATAAAGCTACTTAAAGCTGTCAAGGGGGAAGCTCTCCTTTGGTTTTGCAAACAACAACAGGCACTATGTCACACCCCTGGGGCAGGTTACTGAGAAGATAAGGGCAATGCTAATTTACAACGCTCTGGACTCCTATCAACATCCCTCGTCTCACTTTGATTTGTTTGCCATGCATACTCTCTTGCTGGCTAAGCATTGCCCATCAGCTGCCCATACCGATTTTCTCCAGACAGGGGTTGTTACTGCAACTGCTGGACCTTTCAATTCAGCTGGACCAGTGTCCAGACATTTCGCTGTTCTCTTTAGAGACTCCCCCAGAAGAGCACTGGCAAACTGCACCCACCCTACGGATTGATTCGAAAACAGCAGATAAATTGTGCTTCCTTTTTTCCCCACCCGACACGCGGGCCACCTCCTTGCAGAGCAAACAGGACTTACAAGAAGGTTAGTGGAGCTTTCCACTATGGGCAGCGTAGCCAAACGGAGGAGTAAAAGCTTTCAGCAGTCAACGGGAACGGTGTGATTCTTCAGAAAGGAAAATCTGCCTGTTCATTGCTTGGACAGCAATTCAAAATTGCATTTTCTTCCATCCCAGAAATACTTCACCCACTTGAACGCTACTTCTTTTTATTATGGAACTCGTATCAGCTGCTAAAATGGGCACGTATGAAACTACCGAAACTCCTGTAATGATCTGTTATATAGGATACACTAATCTGTCTGGTATGTATGAGTAAAATTACATTGGGGTTTCCAGCTGGAAGGGACTGCAAGCGAGCAGTTTATCATTTAAATGTACTGGGAGTAATTCAATCACAGGAGGCTGTTATGACAGTGCAGCGAGGAATAATAACCAGCAACACAATAGCCCCTACCTAGAGCAAAATGTTTTCCAGCCCTTTCAGATGGAAAACAAAGAATAAAACAAATCACAAACAAAAACCCCTCCGCACAGACAGGAAAGCTCAACAATGAAGTCAAAGAGAAATGGGGGATATCTGCATCAGGCTCAATGGCATCCTTCCTCCCAGACAAGAACCAGCTTTTTACCCATTCCCTGCTACAGCAGCTACAGGTATGCGATGATTATAACACACAGAAGCAGAGAAATGCTTTCTGCTGCTTAGGGACCCCCTGGGTGACACATGGCCTGCAGTTTGATCACATTCTTCATTCGGGATTTCTATTTTTCTCCTGTCCTCACTCGGACCGTCAACACTCCCATGCACCCAGAATGAGAGGGAAGTTCCTTCCCTCCAAAATTTTTAGTTAAAGCTCGCTTCATCCTTTTGATACTGCTCCTCTCTTACGCTCCCTACAGAAATGCAGCATCCCTCTCGAGCTGGGTCAGCAAAGCCTTAAGATGTGGGGCTGCAGAGAGAGTTTAAAGAGCAGCAGTGAGGGAAGAAATAATAAAAGCACCCAACAATATCCCAAACAAATCCAGCACCGGGAAGGAGGCAGAAATGACCATGTTCTGTATCACCTAAAGTTTGCACAGGGTAACGTACTGACAACTGCTATATCTACATGTATTTGCAGGCAGAGAATCCATAGCTTCAAGATACGTAATAATGTTCTGTTTTCCACATGAAAGGGAGTCTCTCCTTAAACAGGAGTGTACCCCTGCTATGAAACTGCTGGAAAAAGTAATCAGTCACAAATAATAGTCATAAAACCATTTTGATACTTAGCATTCCTCCATGGACAATGTCATTATACATGGCTTAAATAAATCCCGCTAGCACACAGTTGCATCTTTATCATCATTTTCCTTAAAGGAAACTCAGGTGATTTATTTTTTCTTTCCCCTAAAATACATTTTAATTCATCTGCAAATTCAAAAAGCTGACTAGCAGAGAAAAGACAAATTTAGAGCTGGTTGGGGAACTCCAAGTCCAATTGTAAGACATTTTGTTGCCTCAGAAATAGGTTTTCTCCAAGATCCATTGTTTACTCTGGGGAAGATCTGCAAAAAGGAGGGGGGGTGTGTGTGTGGAGATCATCAGGTTAATGGCTGCTCACATACTCCCCAGCTTTTCAGAACTTTACCAGAAAAATGGCATTTACATTGCAAAACCATTTTGTGTGCAATGCAGATCCAGGACCTGTAATCCCAGACACCTAATTCACGTGCAAACCAGCTAATTAACGCCAGTCTGCCAACTGCACCAGAAATCACAGCAGTGACCTGGGCATGAATAGCACAGACCCAAACCGGGCTTTTTTACCCCTCACTGATCAAGACTGCTTTATTCGTTAGGCGCTGACGTTAACGGTGACATTGTTCTATTCTGGATGAAGTCTGTTCCAGAGCTGACTGATGCCTTTAGCACTGACTGACTGAAGCCACAGTTACCCCAGAGACCTTCTGCAGTGAGTACCGGCCAAGTGCAAGAAGCATCACCCCAACCAGTGGGCAGAGCTACCGGTTGAGGTCTCCCCGCAGCCCCCTGGGGTCAGAGTAGGTAGGGTTTGAAAAAGTAGAGGGGAAGAAAAAACCAAACCAAAACAAACATTTCCACTGTTTTCTGATTAGTGGGCAGTCTGACATAGATTGCAAGTGACAGTGCAAAATGGGTGTTCATGGGCACCGTCAAGCCTGTGAGAAGGAAGAGGGGAGCCTGAACCAAATCTGACAGGTGGAACCAGTGAGATGAAGACCCAGAAACTCTTTGCCTTTGCTGTAATTAGAGCCACACACAGAGAGTCTCTTCTGCAAAGCACCCTGTGAGACAGGAGCAATTTCAGTGACAATCCTGGCGATAAGAGTTGTCAGCTCTTTCTAAAAGCATCGGTAAACCAAGGAACCGATAATTCAGACTCTCAACCAAAACCTGCACCCTACCGCTGCCGCTTGCAGCCCCTCCACCCCCCAGAACAGCATCTTTCAGATGATGCAGGAGAGGAAAGCAAAGCGGCTCTTGGAGCAAGGTGTTAAACTGTAACATGGTTTAGGTCTGCCACAGGGCTGGTGCTTTAGCATTTGGGGTTTGAGTGCTGCTGCTTCTCCAAACCAACAAACCAAGTGTTGCGTGACGGGCAGGATCCCAGGCAGCAGCTTCCTGAGAACAGTTTCCAGAGGCACACAGGGCTGAAGGTGCACCCTGTAGCCATGGTAAAACTCTTCAAGATATGTCTCTAAAGACATATGGCCCTGCAAGATGAGACTATAAATACTAGAACTGTTCAACAGGCTGAGTAATTTTAAACACAGTGCTGCAGTTTGGAATGGTTTGTCAAGAAAAGCAAAATGAATGAATGAATGAATGGGATGATTTTCCAGGCAGTAAATAGATAATTTAATTCTGGGCAGCAATGCCACATGCAGCCTTTAGAGAAGAGCGGAGGGATTTGCGGTTGTCTGTCTGTCCTACTCACCAGGCACCACTCCTTTGATGTCACTTTCCGTATTCATCCTGTTCTTGCGCGTGAACTGAAGGATCAGTTCCTTGGATGCCTCAAACTGTTGTGTAGCCATCAGCCACCGAAGAGACTCTGGGAAAATACTTTAAAGATGGAAAACAGGTTAGTGGCTCTTCCAAGCTTCTGTCAGAGGAAGAACTGATAGCGTTTAGCCGCTCATTTAACCATTAATGAGCTACATAATTATTTTCCAAAAGCAGAATTACTTATGAAACAAACAAGAGGGAAAACAGATTCAGAATGTCCAAGTTAATGACATTTTCTTTTACACTGATTCACAAATAATACAGGAACCATCCTATCACCTAGAAATAGGACCTATTAGAATTTTATAATGTATTAGAGGTGTTCTGCCCGTTAATACAATTTTGAAAGAACTGAGAGGAGGAGGCAGCACTGTCTGCAACAGACATTTGCTGCCAAGCAGGGAATGAATGAGGTGTGCAGTTAACACATGGTAATTCAGACCAAAGAAGGCAAATAGCTGACAGAAGTGATTTGGGTTGTAAAGATGGAGAGAGGAAAGACAAAAATTACTTTTTAGGATTATAATGGAACAGATTTTTTAAATTTTTAAACAAGTAAAAAATCATCTTCCACATATGCAGACTTTAAGCCATTCTTTTAGGTCAGTATTGTGCATGCTCCAGACAACATTTGGTTGTTGCTCTAAGTTTCCCCAAGTAAAGAAAATATTATGTTTGTTGAGTTGCCTTAAAAATATACACATGCACGCAGAATTACAAAATAAAAAAGTTTGTTTTCCATCCGGTTGTTCCCTTCAAGTGCTGATATTCACCCAAGTCATTAGCTTAACCGATCATTCGTTTAAGGAGCTTATCCTCCCCCTCTACTCTGTCCTGGTGACACCTCACCTGGAGTACTGTGTCCAGTTCTGGGCTCCCCAGTTCAAGAAAGATGAGGAACTCCTAGAGAGAGTCCAGAGGAGGGCAACATTAGGGGACTGGAGCATCTCTCCTATGAGGAAAGGCTGAGAGAGTTGGGCTTGTTTAGCGTGAAGAAGAGAAGACTGAGAGGGGAATCTCATCAATACATACAAATATCTTAGGGGTGGATGTCACGAGGACGGAGCCAGACTCTTTGCAGTGATGTCCAGCAACAGGACAAGGGGCAATGGGCACAAACTGAAACATAAGAGGTTTCAGTTGAATATGAGGAAGGACTTCTTTACTCTGAGGGTGACAGAGCCCTGGAACAGGCTGCCCAGGGGGGTTGTGGAGTCTCCTTCTCTGGAGATATTCAAAGCCCTCCTAGATGAAGTCCTGTGCAACATGCTCTAGGTGAGCCTGCTTTAGCAGGGGGGTTGGACTAGATGATCTCCTGAGGCCCATTCCAACGCTTGCCATTCTGTGATTCTTCCTTTTTTTTTTTCAGATGAGCTTACTTTCATACAAAACCAAAAGAATTATGTAGATCTAAGAACAAACAAAACCTCCCATACTTCTATAGAGATGAAAATGTTCAGATCTGACTCCAAGCATATTTTTCTTTCTTGTTTAGGCCTCATTTTCACTAATCTTCCAAAAGACCTTTCCAAGAACAAATTTAGCAACTACTTTTAACTTCAAATGTATAATAAGCCTCAAATTTTCTTCACAAAGAACTGATTTTTGCTGTTGATGCTGCCTCAGTTCTTATACTTCTAAGCAGTGGACCAGGCAATCACACCATTACGATGCTATCTTTTAAGGCTGATGCAATTTGGAAGACAGCTTAGTGAAACCACCATCCTAGATGGAGAAAGTTGTAGGTTGGTTGGTTTTTTTTTTTTTTTACAAGAAGAAAAAAGGAGAGAAGGCAGGCAGACTGCAATCCAAATGATATCAGGCAATAAAAATATATAACAGCCATGATGACAGCTATTCAGCTTGACAGCTTATTTACTACCACTAGTGCTGCACGGATGCTTTGGCATATCCTTCTGCAGAAAGTCCTGTACTGCAAATGCATGTTTTGAAAAATTAAGAATTCTCTGAATCCAACATCTCCTCATGCTTGGCTCTGGAGAGGGGACAGCCTCAGCCACTGGCCTAAAGGCTGCGCTTTTTGAACAATCTGCTTACAAGGTTACAGGTCCCAAACGACAAGCCCTACAGGGAGCACCCACTCCTAGGGAAGGAAGAGAGCCACGGGGACAGGCATCACGCGGACAAATGCTGTCTCTGCCTCCCAGCTCCTACAAGTTTCTCAAACTGGAAGCACTGATGCCTCCTGTCTTTCAGCTGCTCCATTACTCCATGTGAGCAGTGGGAGGTTCATTTAAGGATCTTTAAAAACTCCTGGGCTGCTTTGAGCCCAGGTTATCAGGCACAGCAAGGGGAAGCACTGGCCATCCCATCCCTGTGGAAGTGTCCAAGCTCACTTGTGGAGCTGCTGCCAAGGATCATTTGTACGCAACTACTGGTGCGCCTTCTGTTGCCAAAGCAAGCACCATCACAAACTCAAAAGCCAAAAAACCAAACCAAAACAAAACCACAACCCCCTCCCCCCCCAAAAAAGACACCTCCCTGGTGCCTGTGGACTTCTGCACAGAAATTTGGTCACAACCTCTTTCTTCATCACCTGGCATTATATATATTTTATATATATATATAAATGAAACTGAGACAGCTTTCTGCTGAGGGTGGACAGTCCCCCATGTGACCAGGCTGAGCTGACTGCAGACACCTGGTTGACAGTCTTCTACCTCCTCCATCAGCAAGGAAAGGACCAGCCTTTTGCAGCTGAAGAAAAGAACAGGGGGTGGGCAGGTAGGGGGAAACGTTCATCTCCTGTTACATGGCTGCTGCTTGAGAGAGGAGAGGGGGAAGAGTGGGAGGGACACTAGGAAAAAAGGTCTTAAGCCTTAGAAATCCTAAGAGCAGAGAAGAATCCTTGACAGACAGAAAAAGGCCAGGCAGGTACTGTGCATAGCTGGAAGGAGAACCATGATCCTGTCCAGATGCAGAGCAAACCCATGCAAAGGGTATAGTGTGTCAAATAGGGGTCTGCCGCAGGGCAACAAGCCCGGTTATTAAAACTTTGTGTCTTGGTGAGGGTAAATCCTATCTAACAGCACCAGAAAACAACAGCCCACCCCTTCCCAGTTCTTCAGGTTTGGTTAGAGTGAAGCAGGAGTTCATTTCAGATTACTGAATACCTTTGCTGGGCTTCATGGCATGGTCCTGTCTGGAGCTTCCTGAATCCAAGGCAGAGGAAATAATGCCTCTCTATAACTGGAGATCCCCTTCCCTCACAGCTCTAACACACATACACACTTCGAAAGGAGCCTACCTTCTGTTAACTTATTTTTATACGCTTGTCACCAACGCCTGTGCTCACACCAGTTTACGCGGGTGCCTCTCTGCCCTTCCAGAACGACCTGAGAGCTCAGCAAAGGCATCTGCTCGATTTGCAGGTGTCCCAGCCCACCAGCCCATCCCTTCCAGACAAATCTGCTGCTTCCCCTTTTCCCCTAATCCACACCCAGCTTCCTGCTCCGCTCAGCCACCCATTTCCCAGGGACGGTATAGCCTGCCATGTGCAGGCCATGAGCAGGGCAAATCTATAGGTGGGAGAGGGTTAAGCCCCAGCACGGAGGGGCAACCAGCTCTCTCACAGCAGGAGATGGACGTAAAGAGAGCAAGGAGGGAGGAGGAGGCAGCGCAGGGGCTATCACAGCATCTGTTATTGAACTCACTGCTGGGTACATGATGGGGAATTAACAAGCAGCGTACTTTTCCAGCTCTTCTTTGATTACAAATCAGTTTGATTTCTTCCTTCATTTGTAACATATGCTGAGGGTCCACACTCCATTCCCCAACACAAGGCTGGGGGAAGAGGGGAGGAAAGGAAAAGAGGTAATAAAACGGTAGCACTTTCCAGAGAATATGCAACAGATGGAAGAGAAAAGCCTAAGAGAAAAGTGCATACTGTACCGACAGTATAATTAAACTGGCATCCTAAGCAGAGTCCATTTCTGCAAATGCAAAAACCTCAGGCAATGTGAATCCTGTTACTTGGGCTGTTACCACTATTTATCAAGCTGTGGTATCACACCTTATATAAGGGGGATCTATTTGCGTGGTCTGCCTGTCCTGCCCAGCCCAAAAAGCCACAAAGCTCCTGGATATCAGGAAATTAATGCTAGCATTTCCTATTGCTTTCAATGTCACCCAGGGACAACCTCTCAACAGGGACGTACGAGACCCTGACTCAGACGCCTGGAAAATGTGCTACCTCCAGCAGACTGCCGAGGGGTGAGTGCTGTCCCTGCCACCTATCACGTTCACGTGGTGTCTTCATGCTATTGTACTGTCCTTTTGGACACCAGTATCTGTACACATTATGTTTGATATTGGGTTGTATCCAGTGGTGGATATAATGCTTTCCAGCTGGTGGGCATCCCAATAGGAGGTTTTGGAGTAGACCTGCACGTGTCTGTGTTTGCGTGTGTAGAACATGTGGGAGGTTTGGGAGAACAGTATCATACATTAACAAGAACACCCTAGCTTATTCATCATCCAGATTAACACCAACAAGATGAGACTGTTTAAATGCACGTTGGAAAATGGGGTGGAGGGGAAGCTGTTATCTTGTAAAGGACTTGTAACTTTTCCCAGTGTGCTGTGTTTTGTCCTCAGCCCAAGCTGTGGTATGTCTACCTTGGGGAAAAAGCAAAGAAATGCCCACTGAGGGTTACTGCCATGAAAGCAGGAGAGCTCTGTAAGGCCTTCACGCATTAATAGAACAATATATAACTGTTAAAAATTGCTACACACTGTAAGAAGTTTTTACATGCTGCAACTTGTCAGGCATTACAGCTGGCGGCTTGGCCCCCCACGGTACATCAGTGATTTGGTCCTACACAGTGTGGTGGCATTTTTTTTCCTCCTTTTTTTCAGCATACAGCAACTAAGTATTTTAATCTTGCTAGTGTTATCCTTAAAACAAATGATCTCGAGTGTTCTTACTGTTATGGTTTTGTACAATACTGCTGTCGTACGCCTCTGTTGTGTTATGCCGCCACTGCGTGTCACTATTAAGACAGAACAACAAAGAAAGATTTTTTGGGAGATTTATAGTCCTGGTGGGGATGGACTCAGCACCGCTCCCAAGGCGAGAGCCCTCTCAGGACAGCTGTACCAACGCTGTAGTGCAGGCGGAGAGGAATGGGAACAGCCAGGAGGGGAGGATTCCTTGTGGGAACAATCCTGAGCCACTGCCCAGTGCAGACCGGCCACACGGGCTTCGGTAGAGCGTGCCCCAATTTGGGCAAAATTGAGCAGGCAGTCTAGTTCAGGGCTGGCTACCCCCCACACATGAGACATCCAAGTGCGCTTCTTCAAGAGCTGACACATGTTATTTTTAACCTAGCTCGGCTAACCCAGGCCAAAGAAACCAACAGTGATAGCAGAGAACCACAATACAGGTTTTAAGGGACAACAGCTGAGATGCATCCTCTCAAGAACTGTTTTCATCTTCAAAGGGGAAGTAACAGCCAGAATAACAGCAAAGTACAACTTGCTGCTCAATGGAAGAGGACCATCTCCCGAGCTCCCACCATGTCACAGCACGTAACCTGTGTGCCTGCTACAGTAAATTGTGAAGATATTATTTCTTATTTCAAAGTCAATTCTTTGCAAAAGGTGAATGTAACAACAAAGGGAAAGGCTCATATGTACTGTGTAGCACATACACTTCCAGGCAGCGAAGCGCCTCCCAAGTCCAACATTAGGAGCTCGTGTTGTCTTTGCCCCGACAGGAGGAAGAAATACTTACACCCAGTAAAGCA